TTAGATCGGGTTCTTCAGGTACAGTAACTCTAGATCTGGTTTCACAGGTAGAGTAACTTTAGATCGGGTTCTTCAGGTACAGTAACTCTAGATCGGGTTCTACGGGTAGAGTAACTTTAGATCGGGTTCTACAGGTACAGTAAATCTAGATCGGGTTTCACAGGTAGAGTAGCTCTAGATCTGGTTTGACAGGTAGAGTAAATATAGATCTGGTTTCACAGGTAGAGTAACTTTAGATCGGGTTCTTCAGGTTCAGTAACTCTAGATCGGGTTCTACGGGTAGAGTAACTTTAGATCGGGTTCTACAGGTACAGTAAATCTAGATCGGGTTTCACAGGTAGAGTAGCTCTAGATCTGGTTTACAGGTAGAGTAACTCTAGATCTGGTTTCACAAGTAGAGTAACTCTAGATCTGGTTTCACAGGTAGAGTAACTATAGATCTGGTTTCACAGGTAGAGTAACTATAGATCTGGTTTCACAGGTAGAGTAACTATAGATCTGGTTTCACAGGTAGAGTAACTTTAGATCTGGTTTCACAGGTAGAGTAACTATAGATCTGGTTTCACAGTTCAATAACATCGATTTTCTCCCCAGCCGATCTTGGGTCGAATCGTTTTTCCTCTTTCCACTGTCATTTCATTCGAGACCATAGATTTGAAAGAGATAATGAAACCTAGTGACGGATTGTATATTATATGTATATAGTGTTTTTAGTTGTCTGTTACACACCACAGTGAACATATGTTCATACACCATTTGAAGTATATGTAGTACTGATGCTACTGAATTATTTAGCAAACACTCTGTTTAAGACAACTAGAATTTAATATACAGCCCGATCTATTAATGGATTTGCCACTTGTCACTGAGTTATTGAAGGTAATGGTGAGAAAGGAATAGATTAAAAACATGTTATTTAAAGTATATACAAAAATTTTAATTACTTTATGGATATCAGTAATGTAAAAGTTTGACTTGACAAAACAAAATTCAGCGTGTTCTCAGCCAAACTACTAAAAAAAAACAATTCAATGATAAAGTTTCCATAAAAATTAATATATTATATATAATTAATGTTCATCGTCTAACAGCCACTTTATACCTTGTAATAAAAAATAGAAAACCCTATAACTCGAGCAGGGGCAAACTGATGCAGAAAGTTCAACTTTAAACTGATGAAGAAAGGTCAACTTTAAACTGATGAAGAAAGTTCAACTTTAAACTGATGAAGAAAGGTCAACTTTAAACTGATGAAGAAAGGTCAACTTTAAACTGATGAAGAAAGTTCAACTTTAAACTGATGAAGAAAGGTCAACTTTAAACTGATGAAGAAAGTTCAACTTTAAACTGATGAAGAAAGTTCAACCTTAAACTGATGAAGAAAGTTCAACCTTAAACTGATGAAGAAAGGTCAACTTTAAACTGATGAAGAAAGGTCAACTTTAAACTGATGAAGAGCGGTCAATCTTAAACCAGTGAAGAGTGGTCAATCTTAAACTGATAAAGAAAGTTGAACTTTAAACTGATGAAGAGCGGTCAATCTTAAACTGATGAAGAGAGGTCAATTTTATACTGACAAAGGAAGGCCAATCTTTCGAAAATGCTCAGGTTATAGGATTTTCTATTTTCCGTCTTTATTTGATTTCTAGTGGAGTTTTTGAAACACCTTGTGTACAATTATAAAAAGGCTTAACCTTTGTTTCTTCATCTCATTAAAATTATACTATTATCTAACTCAATCACTTGGGAGAATGAAAAGAAAAATGTAATATATAGGAGATTATGTAATAGATAATACTTTATTGTTTGTTTTATAACCTATTGTTTCTTAATTACTATTATGTACTTTCTGGAACTCATATTTAAGTTTCAACCTCACATTTTATTTTCAATTATCTTCTCTTTACTTACCTATATCAACTTAACTTATACTTTGCGTACAGAACAAACGTTTTTAATCGTGAACTAGTTTAAGGGACAATTATGTGAGGTTTCAGCTGTACTCCTTCGATCAGGAATGGGCTAACCATCTTAACAACATTCTGCAGTTTCAGCTGTACTCCTTCGCTCAGGAATGGGCTAACCATCTTAACAATATTCTGCAGTTTCAGCTGTACTCCTGCGCTCGAATGGGCTAACCATCTTAACAACATTCTGCAGTTTCAGCTGTACTCCTGCGCTCAGGAATGGGCTAACCATCTTAACAACATTCTGTGGTTTCAACTGTACTCCTGCGCTTAAGAATGGGCTAATCATCTTAAAATATTTCTGTGGTTTCAGTTGTGCTCCTACGCTCAGGAATGGGCTAACCATCTGGCCAAGACAGACAACTTCCAACACCGATCTGATCGCAAGTATGGGGAGAATATTTACATGAGCTGGACTTCTGATCCTAAAACCCAGATATCTGGTAATTAAATATTCTATTACACCTCATTATAAATAAGACCCAGATGCCTGACTGTCATTAGAAATAAGGAATGAAAAACTGAAAAAAAGATTATTTTATCCTCATCAAAAATAAGGGATAAATACTCAGATCTCTGTTTTCATTTCGATATCTGAATTTATGTCAATCAAAAACTGTTTAATCCTTGTTATAAATATGGACGAATACTCAGATCTCTAATATTTAAAATTGCTATAAATCCATATAATTTGTTGGAAAACGTCCTAGCTTTATATTCTATGTATTAAGTCATAGACGTTATTTACACAGTACTTTATCACAACATTTGTAACTTTTCTTTCACTATCAGGAAGGGATCCAGTTGACAACTGGTATAGTGAGATTAAAGATTATGTCTTCGGGAAAGAGCCTCGAACCCTTGCCTCAGGTAAGACAATTTATAAGTATGTTTAAGAAAATAAAAGGGTATATTTAGCCCTTGACTTTCAGACTGATGGACGTTAATTTCTATGAAGTTTTTAGTCTCGCTTCAATCCGTGTCGTAATATTAAAGTTGAATCTCGATTCTGTGTTATTTTTGCCAAATTAATCCCACTTCTGATACCATTACTTCAATAATTTTTATTGTTGGTTGGGTACTTTTGGGTCATTCGTTACAAGAATAATGGAAAGTTCACTTAACAATGACAAAAATGTTTTATTTCTTCAATTTAATTATCTTGTTTAGCATAGCCAACGTTCATCATAGGCCTAAATTTATAAATAAGCTACGTCTAACAGAAATTTCACATACTTGCTAATTTGACAACTTTATTTATTCTTCGAAATACAAACTCGCTATTCAGAGCAATGAAGGGACTAAGTTACTAACTGGTTAAACAGGCTGGTTAAATCATGCACTGGTTAGTCATTAACCAACTAACAAACTCGCTAACTGAATATCTAACTAACAGATTCACCAACCAACTCCAGCCCACTCGCTTTATATATATATGGAGAAAGTTTCAGAACATTAGAGTCACGCCAACCACGTTATGCTCAATATCCTTCCGGCCAAACAACAATACAAATTTCGCGAAATGTCTAGGCTACAACAATACCGTTAATATTGCCCGATGGTTTAATACACTTTGGTTTTGTATCAGGCCATTTTTTATTATCCAAAAAATACCGGCTCGTTACACAAAGTATGCATGGTAGTCCGAATCAGTCACATGTCGGTTAGCATTCACCATATTTCTACAAGTAAATCTTCTTTCAACACATTTCATACATGTTGGCCAAAGAAAATCATGTTTACCAGCAAGTCTGCTTCGTATAATATAACCCATTTGTTAGCATCCAAGTGGTAAAATTGTGAACTTTGTTCCGGAGATTTCACGACAAACTTTTCATCTACTTCCTTCCTTCCAACTAACTATCAAACTATAGCACCCATTCTACTTCCTTCCTTCCAACTAACCATCAAACTATAGCATCCATTCTACTTCCTTCCTTCCAACTAATCATCAAACTATAGCATCCATCCTACTTCCTTCCTTCCAACTAACCATCAAACTATAGCATCCATCCTACTTCCTTCCTTCCAACTAACTATCTATAGCATCCATCCTACTTCCTTCCTTCCAACTAACTATCTATAGCATCCATCCTACTTCCTTCCTTCCAACTAACTATCTATAGCATC